TTGCTAACTTGAAAGAAAAGGATGTGTAGTTTGCTTACATATTGTTTTATTGGTTGCCAACAGGATATTGTTATAAATAATGTTTAGTAATTCATAGATCTGAAATTGGATGATGGTTATGTATCCAGAGAGAGGCTTGAGACGTTCTTGTTTGGCTTGATGGAAAGTGGTTTAATATTAGATGGTGTGGTTGCTCAAGACATTAATCAAGTATCTTCATTTTGGCGTATCCGTGAGGTTTCAACCTTAACCTTTCTTTTGTTTTTCCCATAATATGTAATGATGATTGCCCATTTTATATGTCTTTTTCCACAAATCATGAATTCTAAGAGGGAATCCATTGTGTATTCATATAGCTAACATTTATCTTCACGAGTCCATTATTTCTAATTCTGGGATTCTTGCCCACTATTATGACAACTATCCATCTTTCTATTTTAGATTCTGATTTCATATGCTGCAGATTGAGTCACAAATTGTGTAAGGACAAGCCATAACCTTGCTAGTTGTATTCAAAACTCTTATTTGTTGCCTTGAAATTCATGCCTACTTGCTTATATGTTCTCATAATGTGTTTGTACATAAAATTCTTGCCTACTTGCTTATATGTTCTCATATTGTGTTTGTACATAATTCATTGCATTTTCCACCTAACCTTTTCCATTTCTGCTTATTTCCTTGTATTATGGGTGTCTTGCATTATATATGTCGTTGGATCTTGCTATTCATATTCTTTTATTTCATTGGGCTTGCAGAATCAGATTTTTTTACTATATTTGCAGGGTATACCAGAAGCATTGATGAAGTTTGGGGCTGTATACAAGTATGATTTGTCTTTACCTTTGGAGAAAATGTATGATCTTGTTGACGAAATGCGAGCACGCCTAGGTAAATCCCTCTGTTTTCTTTGCATCTTGGTGTATCATGCTTTTCTTTGTTTTCTTTTAGCCTTAGGTTAGGTACTATGATTCATTATTTAGTGTCATTTCTGGAGAGGTGAGCATATTACCAGATGGAGATATGGAATTATGGATAAGTAAGCATTTCTTTCATAGGGAGGCCTTTCTCTATGATGGATGAGCAGCCTATCATGATGCTTTAAGCGAGGAGAAAATGTATATGACTTACAGCTGTATGGAGCAACCTGAGAGAAGTTTGGTTAGAGTGAGGTTTGCCACCCATATTTTGTGTTTGGGGGGGGGGGGGGACAGGGTGTTCATAATCTGGAAAGTCTAAATTACAATGTTATGGTGACATGTTTTTCAAAATTTGAATTACCCTATGTGTAAGTAGGTTTCAGTGAAAACCATGACGATGCTCAAGAAAAGGTACAATATCCATGTGAATCATTATTTTTGACTAAACTGGAAGAGTGGAAGATATGGTACAAATTACATTGAGAAAACGGGAAAATAAAAAAACAAAAAGGATTATTTAATTGCTGGCCCAATTTAGTAATGTCATGTATCTGCACTTCGTTGTGGTCATTAAACCAAAATTTGGAGTTTCTCTTGTTTAACCAAATTGGTAAGATGTGGAATCTAGCTCTCCCAGATTTCAGTCTTAGCATTAGCTTGGCCACGTTTGTAGGTAACCCTGCCAAAGTTGTGGGGTATGGCCACATGGGAGACAGCAACTTGCACCTCAATATAACATCTCCTCAGTATGATGATGATGTAAGTTCTTCTATCTTTTGGGATGGGTTGAACAGCATGCTGAATACTGTTCCTCAAATAAGTGTGACTGTGTGAGTGTTGCAGATTTTAGCACAAATTGAGCCCTTTGTCTATGAGTGGACATCTAAGCATCGTGGGAGTATCAGCGCTGAGCATGGGATTGGATTGATGAAAGCAAATAAACTCTACTACAGCAAGTCGCCTGAAGTGGTAATGGCTGACTTTATCATTTGCATTAATTTTTTTTTTTGCAAGCTGCTCCCCCTCCCCAAGGAGAATTGGATAAAAAATGTTCTGTTAAAATGTTTCTCCATTACAAATTTCAGGTCCTTAGCTAGCTTGCATGTCTTCTCTCTTTTCTTTTTTTTGTTCACAGTATATTTTCTACTAACAGTTTGCATTGAATCATGGCTTTTTTCTGATACGGATGTATATCACTGGGATATACATTTGATATTGTGGTTGATAAGATACCCATTCTGCAAACTTGAATTTTATTGTAACTGAAACAGGACAGATAAACCTGTTGGATGTTTTCATGTCAACTGTATGCTCCCATTTCTTGCCTATCTTTCTCATACATCATATTCCCTATTTGAGTCTAAATTTTCTGGCAAATTTCACACAGGTACAACTAATGGTTTCTATCAAGAGGTTAATGGACCCGAATGGCATACTTAATCCCTATAAAGTTCTTCCACATTGTCTGATTGCCAACAACTAAGGTAATGCATGGTTTCAACTAATTTATTTTATCAATCTCATGGCGTCAATTCTTCAAAATAAGACTTTTTTTTTGAAGTTGATGCAGGCTACAAGAACAACTTAGCAAGTTATAATAGAGAGAAGTCCACATCTTCCATATTACTGAATATCACAACCCAGCAGAAGAAAGGATAATTGATATCAATAAGAACCTAAACAACATTCAAAAGCTATAATACAGAGAAGTCCACTTCTTCAACAAATGTTATCAAATTCCTGCTTACTGTAAATCTTGTATGCAAAATATGTCACTGCTAACTTGAAGACACTACTTCACAGGGAAGCAAATCTAAATCAGGCTAAGCTGTTTACTTCACTGGTCACTGCATAAAGTCACTATGTGGCACACTTGACTATTATTTTACATCTTCAATGAAAAGTTATCTTACTGAGTATTGTGCTAAGGATCCTGCCATTTATGTGACCTCTGATTATTATGTTACTGCTATGTTGAGAGATCATAAGTTTGTGTTGTTGAAAATGTAGGGTAAGTTTGATCTTTCTGGTTTGATGATGGACTGAAGTTCATGTTATTAGTGTTAGTGATTATTGGTAAAACACTTGCTACTTGCCGAAGAGTTCTCAGTCGTGACTGTGAATTTGCTGCCCTGATTCACATTTATTCTCCTACAACTAAAAAGCTTCTCTCCTTTCTTAGACAAATAAGCTCCTCATGTATGAAGTATATATGCTTTAGCCTTCGTATCACTTGAACCTAAAGCAAGTTGTGTCTATGGCTGGATTTGGTGCTTGGAATCCCAGGTTGGGATTAGATTGATATCTTATTCTTCATGCACTAGTATTCGTGGAGTTATTATGTTAAATGTATCAAATTTATGTATTCCTAGAATATTCTTTAATACATATCAATATATCATGGTATAATATTATGCATTTGGAATTTTGAATATATATGATGGTATGTGTATTTCACTATTTCGCATTTAAGATAGAAGTGGGCATAAAGTGGACATATGCTAGTTGCTGATTTGACAAGTTCCTTTCTCTCATTAGGTTGAAGATAATATTTAAAATTTGTTTCAAGTATAGATGCCGATGTTTTTAGTTTGCTATTCCGTACTTGGTATTTTTGTAAATATTTCAACAAGTTAATATGATTGGTTTATTTTACATACCATTGAAGTATTGGCTACTTGGTAAGTTTTTTTTTTTTTACCTAAAATTTTAAAGGTATGGAGTTCAAATCCTACCAAATGAGGGTGTATAGGGGTAGGGATTTGAGGATTTCCTTACTCTCCCCTACACTCCAAAGTGTTTAGCCCGTAAACACTAGACCAAGATACCGTTAGGGTTGAGGTTTAATTAATTTTCTCCTTACCAAAAAAAACGGGTGTTGATTTATTTAATTTTATCTATTATGTGGCCCTAATAGGACCTCCAAATGCATAGTTGGTAATTGAAATCATCCCTTGTACCTCTTGGCTACTACTACAATATACATTTGAAAAAGTCATCATGGAGACAAACTCATTCTCGGGGCTTTAGAGGCCTATTATGATTCCCAAAGCAATTTTTATAACATTGAGAGACACCCAACCTCCAAAAGTATACAAAATAAAATTTATAAAGTCTACAATTCGTATGATGAAATAAAGAATAAATGTAATTTTATGAAAATTAATCACACGAAGTTTAAAATAGTTAGCCTATATACAAATAAAGAAATATTTATAATGGATCTAGTATGTAAAAGGAAAGGTTAAACAATCAATAAAGGAACTATTTAAGAAAATCGATCGAATATAACACAAATTATCGTATATTAGGTCACATTTACAATAGTTTAATTAAGAATTAACATATCTTTTGATTTCCTTTTATTGCGTCTTGATTCTCGAGGGAGAGTATTAGGAGATGACATTCTTGAAGGTAATTCAAATAATAGAAGACATCATGAAGTTCATATTACGTGGAAAACACCTCTTATAGGGTGGGAAAAAAATGATGAGGCTGCTAAAGGATTGTTAGGTCCTAACTGATGTATGTGTACACCTTAAATTTTGGTTCATGATCCTTTTTCCAAGATGTATAAGATAGACTTGGTTTTGTGCTTAGACTTTAGAGATTCGAAAGGAATGTAGATAAATAATTAACATGCGATTCTAATTTCCATGGGCAGAGAACCATAAGGAAGATATTACATAAACATTAAGCCTTTAATGTTGTTTCGTTTTTAAAGCTGATTTCAGAATTGTGATATATGGAATAAACTTTATCTATGTATATAGAGATACAAAAACCAATATATATGAAAAATAAACTTACAGTTTTAGCTTTACAAGCAAAGAATTGACTACCAAGCAAAGCTTAAGAGGGGACTCACTTTGTGACTTTGAAATATTAAGTTCGAATCCCACCAACTACAAAAATACTTTGGAGTAAGGGAATTCTCTTAGCTCTTTGAAGGTAGAAAAAAAAAAATTAGAAAATTGTTGACTAAAATACAAGTTGATTAAGAAAAATCAATAGGAGTAGAGTATAATACAAATTGTCGTATATCGGGCCATAATTACATACAAGTAGTACAATTAGGGACAAATAAATACTTGGTCCTTTCGTTTCATTTTGTAGTTTATAATATTTCTCCGACAATTGAAATTCTCCCTTTCTTTCTGCCCCTCCGTTTACCCTTTCTCTCTCAATCAATCGCTGCTAACCAAGATGACCACCTCCTCCGCCACCTCTCGAAAGGTTTTTTTCCTTCTCTCTTCTTCTTCTTCCTTTTTATAATCCGATTTTAAATTTCCCCAATTTCAATTTCTGTAAATTTTAATTTATATTGGATTTTTAATCTGGCAAAAAAACTTTTTTTTTTTTTCGATGTTTAAGACACTTAGCAAAATAGCAAGCAATAGACTCCAAAAGGAACTCGCTGAGTGGCAGCTCAATCCTCCTACTGGTTTCAAGCACAAAGTCACTGATAATCTTCAAAGGTATTACCTTGTGTCAATTTTAATTTCAGTTTTTTTTTTTCTAGGGTTTTGATCCAATGATCAAAATTTAAATTCTGGGTATCATTCCTTTTATGATTTCGGGGTCTGGGTATTCTTTTATTTTCCCTAAATTTGATTGGATTATGAAACAAAAAAGGTGGATAATTGAAGTGAATGGAGCACCAGGAACACTGTATGCTAATGAGATATACCAACTTCAAGTTGATTTTCCTGAGCATTACCCCATGGAAGCTCCTCAGGTCTTTTTCTAATTCTTTTCAATTTGTTGATTTTCATATTAAATTGTCTTTTCTTTTAAATTTTTTCAATTATATGTAATTTTTTTAAAAAAATTGTTGTTGGTATAGGTGATCTTTTTATCCCCGGCTCCAATCCATCCCCACATATACAGTAATGGCCATATATGCTTAGGTAAACTCTTCATTTTCACTTATAATATCAAAATTGTTACATTTGTAATTCCTGCATACTCTTGTACTTGTTTGTACTACTCATGGCCGTGAATGTCCCATTATATTGTTTTCGGAACGATCTAGCTTCGTCGGGTTTTATCAATGGCTTTATTTTATCTCAACTTTGGCTGTTATTGGTATAAGTTCAGTAGAGTTATCCCTTGACCATGTGTGTGATCACTTGCTGTTTTATGTTGAAACACTCTTTAATTTATTCGTCTCACTGTGTTATATTTGTCTCTACCGAGTTTATACTTGGTACTGGGGTTCTTTCCATACCGAGACTTAGATTTGATGTTTTATGCTGCAAATTTAATAGGTAATCACCTGGATTAGCCTTAACTTTTAAACCTTTTTTCTTTGCTATGAGTTCATATTCTGTTATGTTCTGTGTTAAGATGGTCTTTGATTAATTATGTGTCATTCAACTCGATTAGGTTATGAGTCTCATTAAGTGGGTTGATCCATTTATCTTATTGTTCTTTTCACTTGAATGGCTTCATAGTATCATTTTGCAGTTATTGCGCTTATGGCTTTAGCTATAATCTGCTTGATTACATTTTAGCTATAATCCTATGGCTTCTCCCATGGCATGTCCCTTTATCTGTTACCTGGTGAAATTTTCAGTAATGAGGAATTTCTTATATATGTTGCTCTGAGAATACAATTTTTTTATCTTGCTGATTTGCTGATGTTATCAGATCTGTGACTGGGGGCTAATTATTTTTCAAAATGGCATGCTGCATACTAGCTCCTTCTGTTTAACTCTTAATTAAATTTTCTTAAAATCCATATCTAAACACTTGGATTTCCTTAAAATCCGTTTATTAACACTTGGATTTACTTCCTTGATGGCACTTTATTAAGATTTTATAATTATGGCTTGGTTATCGTTGCAGATATTCTGTATGACTCATGGTCCCCGGCTATGACAGTGAGTTCTATCTGCATTAGCATTCTCTCAATGCTATCAAGTTCTACAGTGAAGGTGTGTCATCTGTTTCTCTTTGTACTTGTGTAATATTTCTATCATTGAAGAGAGGAAGGCTACTCCTAATGATGTTTCTGCAATGATCATCCGATTGGAATCCTATTTGTTATTTTAAATTCCTTTTCTGGTCTATATCTGAACTCTGCAACTTACAATGAGAGAAATCTACTAATTTCAAATTTTAACCGTGCAGGAAAGGCCCGAGGATAATGATCGCTATGTGAAGAACTGTAGAAATGGAAGATCTCCGAAGGAGACTAGGTGGTGGTTTCACGATGACAAAGTATGAAGATGTAAACAAATCTCTGTCATACTTGTTCATGACATCAGATTAGTCTTCTAACTCTTTTAAGATTATAATGAAAGAAAGCTTTCTTGGCAACCAGATAAATAGTTGTCCTGTTTCATAGTAAATCAGGAAAGCTTTGTTTTTTGTATAGGATAAAACCTTGCTACTATTTCATAATGTGTGATGTTGATTGAAGTTGGGTCTTCAATTGGTGGTTTGAGGTTGCTCAAATACTCGAATTGTATGCTCATACGAATAATCCCTTCCTCATCAACACCCCCCCCCCCCCCAAAAAAAAAAAAAAAACCCCAAAAAAAAAGGATATGAACAGAGGAGAATTGTAATCTTCTCATATATGTACTCAAGGGAGTGCAATATGTTTTGCGTACCATCTTTATGTTCAGTGTTGTTTATTTGGCTTCACACTCCAGTATGTTTTATCATAACACTATGATTGCTGTACTTTCACATTCATTAGGGTAAAAAAAACAAAAGTGGAACATGGCTCTCCCACTAAATGCGTTGGGTACTGTTGTGGGTCACGCATAGTGAATGATAGATTTGAAGTCCAAACTAAAGTTCCCAGACACAACAGCATGTGACATTGATATTGGGAGATATAGCTCTCAAATTATTGGTGCGCATTTTATTGCTCAAGCAGATCCCAAAGTATGAGAATTGTAATAGCTAAATTACTATTGTCGGAGCTGTCTCTGCTCCGAGGCCCATGATTTTGGTAGTTTTTCATGAACGTATTTGGCGCTGAGGCCCATGATTTTGGTAGTTTTTCATGAACGTATTTGGCGCTTTGGATAGTAAGTGTTCCGAGGTCATGTAGTAACACATCATGCGAGTAGATTCATTTAGGTGCATTGCCCGTTTTGGTCCGATCTTTAGCTATGTCGATATCCTCCATTATGTGATGATTGGTCTGTTTGAACTAGGGGTGTTCAAAATACCCGACCCGCTGACCCGCAAAATACCCGACAGGTAATTTTAGAATTTTTGTCATTTTCCGGGTCGGGTACCCGACCCCCTAAAAAGCTTTTATTTCGGGTCGGGTAATGGGCCGGAGTTGAGTAAAGCGGGTACCTGACAATTACCCGAACCATTATTTTTACTCTAGGTTAACTGACTTTACTCTCCTGTCTCTCCACTCCACCTCAATAATTTTCTCTTGCGCCGCACACCTACTGTCTACTTCTCATCTCATACTATCAGAATTACAAACTCTTACCTCTCACTCCACCACAACCTTGAATTATCTAATTATCTAATTCTCCAGCAACCATACCACAAAAATTTAGGTTTTGTCTCTCTTTTACCCTCCCTCACTGCCACAATCTCTATTTCCTCAAAGCCCCAAACCAGACGACCCAACAACACGAACACAAGCGAGGATAGAAACTGAAAATTGATTCTTTGATGAACGGAACTTCTCCACCACCGCTTCTCCATGGTGCGCTCAAAGTTTTAAGTGTGGGTCGCCGGAAATCGACAATCGAGATGACGTAATTTCAAGTTCAAGTGAGATGAATGGTAGGATGAAATGGAGAAAGATGATAATGTCGTTTTGTATAAAGTATTTCTATATTTTGCATCCTAAAGGTCATTATTTGTTACTCAATTTCATGGAAATTGTTGGTTGAATTTTGATTTTATTTGATTTGTATATGAGAATCAATTTTTGTTGTTGCTGTATATGGCTTTATTCAATTGCAGGTTCATTTTTAATAAATTCGGGTACCCGGATTTCTCGGATCGGGTCATGGGCCGAGCATTTGACTACCCGCAACAGCGGGTACCCGCCTCTTCGGGTACCCGAAAAGCCGGGTACCCGGTTATGAACAGCCCTAGTTTGAACGTTGATGTTACTAGATTATCCAAAGAAACAAATATGGGGCATGGATGTTGGTCAATGACGAAAGGTCAATGGGTCGTCTCTTGGCTTTTGGAGTCCGGAAGAATCACGGATCCACGCTCGCTATAAATAATGCAAAACTTTGCGCATACTTTTTTTTTTTTTTGGCGTGATCTACGCTATAAATTTCCACTTGTAAATGGTAGAGAAACCTCTGTTTGACTGGTTCAATGTGGTTAAGCCATCTGTATTTTGAAAATTTTAATGTCTATTTATTTTCTTCTCAAGGAGCAAAGTAAAAGCTATTCCACATGCTAAAGATCTAAAGGTTGACATCTTTATTGTGTACATCTACTCTTTATAGAAGATAATAAAAATAATACGAAATAAATGATTTCTTACTCTTTATTGACAAGGTTAACTTACTCATGTACAGTTAAATAGAATGCCTAAAGGATAGATTTTGTGGATATTTTATGTAATACCCAAAATTAAAAAGTTTCATATTGCTATCCTTAACAAGTCTGGAGGTGGTTTTATTCCAAAATATTATTTAGAGATGGGTGGAGAAGCTAGGGTTGATGACATTATAGCGTAGTAGTAAATGGTGAAATAAAGGAGTTAAAACTTCATTGTGAAGTATTGTATAGCATAGAAATTAATTTTTTTTTTTTTAAGCAATAAAATGGCATCATTTTGAATTTTTCTTTCAAGTTAGGCTTATGGACAAAATGAAATGTGATGAAACGATGATGAATACTAGAGTGGACACAGTGGCACAATTAAGCTTTCAAGGAGGTGACCTACCTTCTAATTAATAAAAGCATTTAAAAGACGAAAGTTGTAATACTTTGTTTTTTAATTTTTACATTAAAATTCACTTGTGCACATTCTCAATTATTGAATCTCCAATTCAGTTTATGAAATGTATACTCATACTTTGTAACTTATTATAGAATCTGCGTATGAATCACAATTAAAGTCAAACAAAAAGAAATACAAACTTAGATATTGGATGTAAACTTACACCAAAAATATAAGGAGTATATAATTTTTTTTGTTCAAAAGACATCCTTAACGGCAAAGTTGAAAACACAAAGCTAGGTTGGCAATTAGTTCCTCTCATTTCTACTAACATTATTTGTTTATTTTATTTACTCAAATAAATGTACTAACTTAAAGCCATGAATATGTATAAACTTGTTATAGGCTTCATCTTTTCTCAAGTCACTCTCTATATGTGTTTCAACAAACTGATTCGTTTATTCTACCTCCCTATATTTGTTCATCACACCTATATATTTGTTCCACTCTTCTATCTCCTCACTCATCCATCTCTTTATCTCTGCCTTTCTCGTGCTTTCAATTGATCAAGAAGCTAGCTCTGAGCTAATATAATGGCTGGTTCGTGTAGCTCGAGTAATACTTCTCACCATGTTTATAAATGTCTTGTTTTTGTCTTTCTTGCTATGCAATTCCTCCCATCGGATGCAGCTGTGAAGAAGTATCAATTCGATGTGAGTTTATAAATGTCTCATTTCTATCTTCCTTGCTAATATATGTGTGCAATGTTAGGATATGTATTAAAGTTAAGATCAATTATGTATACATTTGAGTCTTTTGTCATTGTGTTTTTAGGTTCAAGTGAAGAATGTGAGCAGGCTATGCCATGCAAAGCCTATAGTGACCGTGAATGGAATGTATCCTGGACCAACTATTTATGCTAGAGAAGGGGATAGAGTTATGGTTAAGGTTACTAACCATGCACAGTATAACATGTCTATTCACTGGTAAGTTTTATACCTAGTATTAAGTAAATATTGCATTGCCCCCTTTTTCTTATTCTTTTGCTTGAGGTTTTCTTCTGTGTAAAAATTCTAGGCATGGACTGAAACAATATAGAAATGGTTGGGCTGACGGACCAGCATACATAACTCAATGTCCAATTCAGACTGGGAATAGCTACACCTATGACTTCAACGTTACAGGACAAAGAGGAACACTATGGTGGCATGCACATATTTCATGGCTAAGGGCGACTGTTTATGGTGCCATTGTCATCATGCCAAAAGAAGGGACTCCATATCCATTTCCTCAACCTCACATCGAAGCAAACCTAGTCTTAGGTGGAGATCATTAAACTTAGCTTAGGGACTTAATTAAGACTAAGATATTCGCGCTCTTGTTAATTTGGTGATTGATTGTGCAGGGGAATGGTGGAATGCTGATGTTGAGATGCTTCTCAAACAAGGGGATCAAAAGGGTTTGCCACCAAACATATCAGATGCTCACACTATTAATGGAAAGCCAGGACCTTTATTCCCTTGCTCAGAGAAGAGTAAGCTTAGCTTGTATTCTAGCATTATAGATTTTATCATGCATGTGAATGACTACTTAGCTACTACTATTAATTTTTTTGATAATCTCTTCCTTTTCATTCTGTTTGTAGACACTTATGCATTGGAGGTTGAACAAGGAAAGACTTACCTCCTTCGAATCATCAATGCTGCCCTCAACGATGAGCTATTCTTTGGAATTGCAGGCCACTCCATGACTGTGGTGGAAATAGATGCTGTCTATGTCAAACCATTCACAACTAAGTCCATCCTCATCGCTCCAGGCCAAACCACTAACGTGTTAGTCCGAGCAAATCAAACACCTAACCGTTACTTTATGGCCACAAGAACCTTCATGGACGTACCCATCCCAGTAGACAACAAGACTGCCACAGCAATCTTCCAATACAAAGGCGTCCCAAACACCATCATCCCTTCCTTACCTCAACTTCCCTCACCAAATGACACCTCGTTTGCATTATCCTACAACAGGAAGCTCAGAAGCCTAAACACCCCTCAGTTTCCTGCCAAGGTACCTTTGAAAGTTGACCGAAAGCTCTTCTTTACAATCGGATTAGGGGTGAACCCATGCCCTACATGTGTCAACGGGACTCGTTTTACAGCCTCATTGAACAACATTACCTTTGTCATGCCAAAGACTGCGCTCTTACAAGCACACTACTTCAACATGTCAGGAGTGTTCAGGACTGACTTCCCGGACAAGCCTCCTACCTCATTTAACTACACTGGAGCTCCATTGACTGCTAACCTTAGGACGGTCCAATCAGCAATCCCAAGGATTAGCAAGATTGCTTTCAACTCAACTGTTGAGCTGGTTTTGCAGGACACCAATTTGCTTTCAGTAGAGTCTCATCCTTTCCATCTTCATGGATACAACTTCTTTGTGGTTGGTACCGGGGTTGGTAACTTTGATCCCATTAAGGACCCGGCTAAATTTAACTTGGTTGATCCCCCTGAGAGGAATACTGTAGGTGTTCCTACCGGAGGTTGGACAGCTATCAGATTCAGAGCCGATAACCCAGGTAATAACATAGTTAAGCGCCTTATACATACATATATAGCATTTGTGACATTGAATAATTTGGTGTGTTAAGAGTACATTATCAACTTTACATACAATATTTACTAATAATTGACTTTGAGTGCAGGAGTATGGTTCATGCATTGTCATTTGGAGCTTCATACGGGTTGGGGACTAAAAATTGCGTTTATGGTTGAAGACGGACCAGGGCCAGAGTACTCTGTATTGCCTCCACCTAAAGATCTTCCACATTGCTAATTCTTCAACTTCGTAAAATGGCTTATGGTTGTATATAATACATGCATTTTTTTCATTCAATTCGTTTCTCTTCTTTCCTGGTAGTAAAAATTGTACGAGGAACGGGAAATAGTTGTGGATGGATCGAGCTTTAAGGAAATTTGAATTGATGAATATTACTTGCAGGAATTTGTAACATACGCTCAAATGTAATAGAACTTTCTACAAGTTTGGAAATGAGTACATATTATACAGTACAATTTTCCACATAGCTTGGCTAGTTTACATAAATAGTTAATTTTCGTTCTGAATATAGTAGTCTAGTCATATAATCATATTGTTTTATCCCTCATGAGTAATGATTTAGGATAAGTCATAATTTTACAAATTAGTGTAGAAAACCATAGTTGGGCTACCTCTATCCTTCTCACACCACACTATTAATACAGATCATAATTTAAAATTTTACCTCTACTATATGTGTAATTATAATCTACCTATGTAATGACATTATGATTTGAGTACAAAATTTTCTATGTATATGTTGAGGTTATGTATCCATAATGACCATAACCATATCTTCCCAGTCAAAAATGCTTATCGACGATAACGAAGATTATATCTTCTTTCTGTGCTTATAGCAACAGAGTTCTCACCGATTTCCTCACCTGCAATTGGTAGCATATAATCTGGGTCTTCCGTAACACTTATGTCTTCAGGCAACTCAGCCTCTACCCAAGATATCCAGTCAACTTCACTATCCACATCGTCGTTGTCTTCCCATGAAAAGTCATCTCCTTTCTTCATCCCATTTACCTTGTCTAAGAGGGAGACCAACATATTATAGTTCAATGTTTCATAATCCCTACAAAAGTTGAAACAGTTATCAATTTGCATAACCAACAAAAAATAATCTTCTGTGTTTTAAAAAAACAAAATCTGAGTTAAAAATATACCTAAATGTAAAAATGGTGTAAAGAAGTTGAATGACAGCATAAATTCCAAAAAGTGGCTTCACAGCAGTCCTTAGATGGATGTGTTGTTCGATCTCGTTGGATGTAAAACGCAGTATTATACATTCTATTGCGAATGCAATGCACAATCCTGTTATGAGCCAGAATTGTAAGTGACAATCCGTAAAACTTGAAGTTAATTAAAACATGATCAGAGGACGGTTTATAATTCAATTCAGTGCAAGTAATCATTGGGCACATACCTATATAAAGTCTACATCTTACACCATATGTTTGCTTTGTGCTTGTCAGCATGTAAAGAACAAGGACTAAGATGGAATACACAAAAAAGGCTTTGATAATCCTTGACTCGAGCAACATGGCATTGTGCAGGGCAAAGAGCTTATCAATGGCAGCAAACATGCTTGCTTGTTTCGATTCAAATGCTTCCTGAAAAACATATACAACACTCCAAATTAGTCAGAGCAATTACTGCACAAATGCTAACATCAGCTAATTTTTTACACCTTTATTACTTGTATGTTGATGAGTCAATCACCTGAGCTAATAATATGGATTTTGAGTTGTTAGCCAAGTGGTCATTAGCTAGCAGAAGTTGTTGCTGTTGCTTCAATAGTTCTTGGTGTTGCCCATTTGCGAATTCCACTAGTTGTTCCAAAGAAACCCTGAAAAAAAAAAAAAAAAAAATCAAGATAGCATTAAGAAATCAATTGGATCACATTATATTCTTCTTTGGACTGCATAGAAATTAATTACCTGCTCTCTTGAAGTGCTTGAGATAAAAAAGTAGTGAGAGACTTAAGACCCTCAAGAGCAATCGATTGACCTTGAAGAAGCTCTTGTTGTTTGTCTACAGAAATTTTGGCCATTTTAGAAATATCATCAGTTTTTCCTTGGAGATTCTGCATCTTTGATGACATTTCTTCTCCAACTTTGTTCACCTCCTGCTTGACATCAACAGTCTTCTTCTGTAAACCAAGTATTTCTTCACCTAAATTCTGATAAGATTCTTGAATTTTCAACATATCTTCCTCCAATTTGTCTTTCATCCGTCCCTGTCCCTCTAGCAACTCTACCTGAGACATTGCAATTCCCTTAGCTGTCTCGTTGAGCTCTTTCGAGTGATTCAAAACAGCACCCAAGTATCCAAACATTTTCTTCAAAGTCTCCCCAACAACTTGAGTTTGTGCATCAATCGATGTTATAGATTCATGTATTCCATTCGAGCTATGCAGAAGATTATCCGATTTTTCTTCAATGTTCTTCAATTTGTCTTCTGCAACCAGTGCTGAATCTTTCAGGTCATTCACTAAACCTTCTAGCTGAGACTTGAAAGCCTTAGACCTGTAGCACAAATGTCTCAAATTTTGTACAGAGAAAAGGGGTAATAAAAATTGTTTAAATTTATAAATCATACTACTTACTGTAACTGATGGCAAATGGAATTTGTCTGAAGGTAAAATTCAAGGTAAGTCTTATGATCATCATTATTCAGCTTCCTTAAACAATCAAACATGGCAGATTTTCCGGCACAAGAAGGGAAGGGAGTCCTCCCGGTATCCTTCTGAAAACAATCACTCAGATGCCAAGCAAGCCTTTTTCTCTTTTCTTCTGCAGCAAATATTTCAGAACAAGTCGAAAATAAATCTTGGTATGCTCTGAACCAACAAGGATTTGTCCCTCCCAACTTTCTCTTGGCATTTTCAAGCAATTCAGCAGCTTTTGGATTATCAAGAGCATCAACAGAAAACTCAGCAACCAAACCTTTGGACATAATATCCTTATTTCCTGATTGGTTTTCGCTCGAATGGGCGTCTGCAGAAGATGAGAACCAACCCCATGACTGACTTGTTGGTGAAAATGAAAGAAAAATCAGCAGAAACAGAACAAGGTTATGATTTCCCATCTTCGATTTTACCTGTAGAACCTGCATTGGCATAATATCAATATGAATAATCTGTTATATACAACAACTTAGGTAATGTAAAAATCACATATTTAAATGTGTGTGCATGAAATACTACATTTGCATGATTTATTTTACGGAAACTATTATTACTATGCTCCGTATTATTTAGACTTCACAAACAAAAAAAAATCAGGAAAGACGAATCGATAAACAGATCAATTAACCAATAAATTACACAATACTCTGTATGCAAAGAGCTTATGATTAAGCATGCTAATTTTCTCGATCATTATGAATAATACGTAAAATCGATCATAAAATTATCTCTATAATTACAGCAAATTCAACAAAACTACAAAAGTGGATGAAATAATATATGTTAGTTTTTGGACGTCTCCCATAACAAATTGAAGGCCGACCTAATGCTATAATCACCCCATTTAACATTGCCAACATAAACACATAAATTCTGATCGAAAACATTACCTTCAATAATCGAAACCGTGTAATTTTATTCAATTAATATGATTAAATAGTTTATAGTGTTTCTATATGCGTTTTGTCTAAGAAAACTAAACAGAAATATAAGAACAATAGATCTTATTAAGCAAAATTGCAGATAATAACAGTAACAGTTTTGTGAGGGAATGTGAAAGTTGATTAAAGTATTGCTTGGCGCCCAAGTACATGACTTTTGGACTTTTAGCTTTTTTTTTTATTATTATTTTATTTATTTTTTTTAATGGCAAATTCTGTCCCCACTATTAAGACAAGTTTAAAGGTGGATGCATGATTAACAGTTAAAAAACCATTGATAATGGTAATAATATATTTTACAAAAGCTTATTTAGATATACATTTCCAAATATTATAAACCTTTCCAATTTGCTAAGTTAATGTGATGAGATCGTCTATATATATGGAAAATTTGCTCTGATTTTAATCCGGAAAAATAAAATAAGATAAGAGACAAACCTGAGAAGCTTGAGGCCCTTGTGGAACTCCATATGACTCACATATGATCACAACACCGATCTAAATTATCGACAAGTTTGCATGTTATGTAGATTTGTATAACAGAGTAACCTTGAAAAAATTGCATGATATTTTCTAAGTTTAGATATTATTATGCCATTTGAATGAGAAATGAAAAGGAGGAGATTAGATATTAAAGAGCAAATAATTCTACAAATATACCATAATTTTGGCATTAACAATGGATTAAGGCTAATGTAAATGTAAATGATGAAGGTCTAAAAGCAGAAAGGGAGGGAGACAAAAGATCACGTCTGAAACGGTGTAATATTCACATAACTGCTGCTGAGGAAATAAGGAGCATACATATCCAATAAGCCTTTTATTTTTCATTTTCTTTTGCATTCAATTCACTTTATATTATTGTTTTATATTTCTATTGGTTTATGATTTAATAATTATTAGTAACCGATACCGTAAATTCAAACAAATTTTTCATTGAATAATGTTATACAAGGAACTGACCGAACCTCAACCATCACCATTTTTTTTTTGGTACGGGATATACACAACCCAGCATATATTACATTTCCTAGTATAGAATTAATGTAAAAACTTATGACAAAATTACATGTTACTATTGATGCTTGATTATGCTTAAGATCTTCAATGTTAGCTTTTTTATGGAAGTATTAGTTTCAAAAAAAGTAAATTATATAAAGTCAACTTTGTACGAGTTTGTTGGTTGTGTAGAGCTTTGCCTAATATTTGAGTTGACGTACAACTCACTTGATCTCAATTTTTTTTTTATTTTTTTTATTTTTATCATCACATCTTGTAATTTTATATAGAGCTCTCAATTCAAATAAACGGGTCGGGTCAACTCGGGTCAGGTCAATTCAGATTAATTCCATAACCTATGCGAGTCGGGTTTAGGTTGGGTCATGCTTGCGTCGGGTTACGTCGAGTCATACTTCTTATCAGGTTTGGGTCGGGTTTAGGTCATGTAAATAACAGGTCGGGTTACATTCGGGTGGGGTGAACAATAGGTCGGGTATTCACGGGTTAAAACAGGTTAGGGTAATTCTCGGGTTCGAGTCAGGTTCGATTCAAGTCAATAATTTGCGCGTTAGAATCAGGTCAAGTCATTCTCAGGTTTGAGTCGAATTCGGTTCAAGTCAATAATTTGCAGATTATAATCAGGTCGAGTCATTTTCAAATCGGGTCATTCTCGGGTTCAAGTCGGGTTCGGTTCAAGTTAATAATTTGCGGGTTATAATCAGGTTGGGTCATTTCCAAGTCGAGTCATTTCCAAGTCGTGTCATTCTCGGATTCAAGTCGGGTTATGTTCAAGTCAATAATTTGCATGTTACAATCTGGTCAGGTCATTTCCAAGTCAGGTCATATTCGGGTTCAACTAACTATAAATAGATTATTATCATTTTTATCAAGCTAATTATTTCCTTTGACTATAATATTTATGGCAATATACTAGGGAACTATAGTTTATAATTTAGGAAGATAATTATCTCCTTTGACCATACAATCTATATTTAACTCTTAAATTTGAGGATAATGTTCCTTTCTTTTGTTATCCTGGACCGACTTGGTCTCCTAAGACAAAATGCTTTGATCAACAATAATAAGGTGGTCTAAATTGCATTTAAGGTGATTTGAAATTGGGCCAGGAACAATTTGGATTGAATTTAGGTCGGGTCAATAACAAGTCGTGTTAATTTCGAGTCGGGTTAGTAACAGGTAGAATTTTTGGGTTGGAATAGTAATAGGTATGGTAAAATTCAAGTCGGGTCAATAACAAGTCGGGTTGAATTTGGGTCAGGTCAATAACAAGTCGAGTTGATTTCGGGTCGGGTTTGTAACAGGTTGGGTTAAATTCGGGTCGGGTTAGGAACGGATCGGGTTGAATTCAGGTTAGGTTTGTAACAAGTCGGGTTAAATTCGGGTTTTGACGGGTTAAAACAGGTTTGGGTCAATTTCGGTTCAAGTCGGGTTCAGTGCAAGTTAATTAAATTGGTCATTGTAAACCGGTAAATCAGTGCAAGTTGTAAACCGGTAAATTGGCCGTGTAAAAGGAAATTGAATGGTTCCACACACCCAATGGGACTCCCGGAGGGTATTAGGAACCAAGGTAAACATTTCGGCAATTTTTATTTACGGGCGAAAAAAAGTCAAAAAATTCCAAAATTAAAGGCTAATATCCACGCTTTTTGAGAAATTTTGGAGGTTTTAGGGCCCGATGTAAAAAAATCTTGAAATTCTATGGGATACATCTCAGGGTCATATAATGCCGTTTGAAACCATATATGATCATTATTTGTTGTCATAAATGTTCGTGGTAGGCTTGAATTAATGAAATCGGTGCAAGTTATAAACCGGTAATTTGGTCGTTTATCTCCTTTGACCATATAACAAATATATACTATATTTAACTTTTAAATTTGAGGATGATGCTCCTTTCTCTTGCTGGCCTGAACCGACTTGGTCTCCCTAGACAAAATGCTTTGATCAACAATAATAAGTTGGTCTAAATTGCATTTAAGGTGATTTGGAACCGGGTTGGGAACAATTTGGGTTGAATTTAGGTCGGGTCAATAACAAGTCGTGTTGATTTCGAGTCGGGTTAGTAACAGATCGGGTTGAATTTTTGGGTCGGGTTAGTAGTAGGTCTGGTAAAATTCGGGGCAGGTCAATAACAAGTCGGGTTGATATTGGGTCAGGTCAATAACAAGTCGTGTTGATTTCGGGTCGGGTTTGTAACAGGTTGGGTTAAATTCAGGTCGGTTTAGGAACGAGTCGGGTTGAATTCGGGTCAAGTTAGTAACAACTAACAAGTCAGGTTAAAATCCAGGTTTTGACGGGTTAAAACGGGTTTGGGTCAATTTTAGTTCAAGTCGGGTTCAGTTCAGGTCAATAATTTACGGGTTATATTCGGGTTGGGTCATCTCCAGGTCAGTTAATGTTCGGGTCTCATAACTCGGGTCAACTCGGGTCTAGGGTTGGTTTCAGCCTTTCAAGTCGAGTTAGGTCGGGTTTGGATCACCATTTTTCGGGTTCAGATGAGTCGGTTAATAATCAGGTTTGAGTCAGTATTTCGGGTCAGGTCAACTTTTGCCAGCTCTAATTTTATAAATTAAAAAATACAAGTAGCAAATGCTCCGCAGCTGACATTTCCATGCAAAGTCAGACTTTTATTTCTTATATTCAAAGGGAGGATGAAAAATTCATTATAAAATTCAGATAGCCAAGCAGCCATTGAAATCAGAAAATGAAACTGGCAGGGAGCTAATATCAGATCAGAGAGCAGAGAAGTAATGGAGGGAGAAATCCAGTATAAATGGATCAAAACTAACGGGATAAAGATGCACATAGCAGAGCAAGGCACAGGACCCCTTGTACTTTTGCTGCATGGGTTCCCGGAATTCTGGTACTCTTGGCGTCACCAGATCCCTGTTCTTGCTAGCCATGGTTATCATGTTGTCGCTCCAGATTTACGAGGCTATGGTGACTCTGACTCGCCCTTGAGCCCCTCTTCTTACAGCATGCTCCATATTGTTGCTGACCTTGTTGGCCTCTTGGACTACTTTGGTGAACCAAAGGTAAAATCTACTCTCTAATCCAGCATTAAACTAATTTTCCCTACCCCTCATTGATAAAAATATGATACACATGTATTACGTGTTTATTAGACATCCAAACAAATGTGATTATTAATTTTGGATAGATGTACATACATAGATAGAATCCCTATTCCCTGATTTGCTATCAGCCTATAATAACTTGACTGGAAAAGTTTACTTATACTTAGCTTGTTTCTCACAAAACTTGGTGATTTTGGAGAAGGCTTTTGTGGCGGGAACTGACTGGGGAGCTGAGGCAGCATGGCACTTGAGCCTCTTTAGGCCTGATAGAGTGAAAGGAGTGGTTTGTCTCTCAGTTCCTTTCTTCCTCAGAGACCCAAACAACAAACCTACTGATTTTTTCCGAAGAATATTTGGAGATGACTTCTATGTGTGTCAATTTCAGGTACTGTCTCAAAAAAAAAAGATATATCTCTTTTGAGTCCTTTCGCAGCAGAAAGTTGGTACTTATTAGTTGTCTAAATATGTAGGAAACAGGACGTGCAGAGAGAGCATTTGCAAGGTATGACTATCTGACAGTCATGAAGAAATACCTGCTAGTAGACAGAACAGACAATCTGGTGGCTCCAGAGGGCATGGAGATGATAGACTACCTAGAGACTCCGTCTGTGTTGCCACCATGGATCACTGAAGAGGAACTTCAGGTTTATGCAGACAAGTTTCAGGAGTCCGGTTTCACTGGTCCATTGAACTATTACCGCGCTATGGACTTGTAAGTGTATCACTCTTGGAGATTTACCAACTTCTAGACTAGAGTAAAATCAACAGTGTATCACTTGCATTAACATTTTTTTTTTTTTTTTTTTGAAGCATGCATTAACTTTTCTTCAAACCTTAAGAGATATTCATGATTCTTTCATCTCTTCTTGATCACTAAGCAGTGCATGACTTAAGTTTCACTATCTACATCATGTGTTACTGTGTTAGGAACTGGGAGCTGCTTGCTGCCTGGCAGGGAGCAAAGATAACAGTTCCAGGCAAGTTCATTATTGGCAATAAAGACATTGGTTTTGTAAATCTTGGTATAAGGGAATACATTGAAGGTCCCATCTTCAAGAGCCTCATTCCTAATTTACAAGTTGCCATTCTCAATGGCCACCATTACATACAACTGGAAAAACCACAGGATGTGTCCAATGAGATATTATCCTTCCTACAAGATAACTCTTCAGACCAATGAAGCTATTCTTTTCTGGACCAAACTGTAGGTCCTATGTATAAGTAAAGGACTAATAACTGGATTGGAGATTATCTTCAACCAGTAATCTAGACAGTCTGCCTAAGTACATTCTTAGCCTGTTTTAGCCATGCTTCAGCTTTCGCTCTGAATCAGATGTAGATTTACTTGTCTATCTAAAGTTTGCTACTTTGCTCTTCTAAGTACTTCAACTCTCCCCAATAAAAAGACAAATCAAACGCCATAAGGTGATCCAAGTATTCAAAGATGTTTACATGACAATGGTTGGAACAAGAAACTCTGACAAGCATAACCTTAAGGTAAACAGTTCAATAGTATTAATAACTTTAGCAACAGAAACGTGACAATAATTTCCTCATACTGGTATGCCCTGTTGACCTGTTCTATCACGGTATTGTATCTACCTGTTAAAGATGGGTGCAAAAAAGAAAGGGGGTTTGAGAGGGGGGGGGGGGTGGGGAGGGGTTGTAAAAAATCAAGAAGCAGAGGTAGAAGAGAGTTCAAGAAAAAATAGATGAAAGAATATAGAATTAATCTTTCTTTCTAGTCAAATTGAACACCTTTAGAACATTCTCATATACAACAAAAGTTACAGCAGATGCAGGTACATTCTTCAATAAGTTAGCTGTAATACCTTTGTAGAAACCACGAAGACCTTCAAACCTGCAAAAGATGATAATATATATATATATAACTTTGATAAATAGTAGAAAAAAGGAAGAAATATCAGGTTGTAGGACACATGGGAAAGTTGTCCTCAAATTATTTAACAGATGGGAAAGATGTCCTCACACATTATATTGGTGATACATAAATGTATACTTTTGCCTAGGAGAAAGGCAAGCAAGGATGCACGGTGTATGAGTACTGATAATTTTAAATTTTCTCAGGGAAGCATTGCATTGGGGGGAAACCGTGATATGACTTAATAAACTATTATGTGAAAGGAATAAGACAAGAATCAACACCCAATTAGGCACTGATGATTATAATACCCTCTAACGCAAATACTATTAAAGCCAGAGCAACTAGTCAGACATCAAGATAGTATTACATTATCACTTAACACTATGTTGCAGGCTTAGCATACGAAGTATTAAATTTTGCAGTGATTCATTCTCACCGTGCAGTTTCTTTGATCACATGAAAGCTATCTGCATATCTAGGAACGCCATCTTGATTTGGCCTTTGCTGCATTTACAATTTACACAAAGACAGATGAGTGAAAATATTACAGCTTGTTGTAAAGGTCAAGCTTAAGCATCATGGAAGCAAAATTCCAGTCACCTAATCAGGCATTTACCTGTAATCTTGATCGAATGACCTGCGAAGTACAGAAGGTATTACTAAAAGTCGATATTACAAAATAAAGATCCATTATAATTATGAGTAAAGTTTACCTGAACTGGATATGTAAAGAGAATGGCTGCAACTTTAGAAGAAGCTCCCAAAAAGGTATAGTCTAGGGAGTTCTGTATCAGATTGCAACATATAAGAAAATCAGCTTAAAATTCACAATGTTAATAGAATTTGCTAAATGGAGTAATGGACCCTGTGGTTTAAGCAACTATATGTCAAACCACTCCCCACCCACTTTTATGCATTAATCTCTACATTTAGCAAAAGTATTTTAAAAAGATCTTATTTTTTGCCAAAAGGGATTAATTGCTAATAGAGCTTTATGTCAGAAAGATACAGCATATAGAGTGCATAAATCGCAGACCTACCAGCACTTCAACATCTTTAGTTTTGGCTTTTTCTGACTTAAAATCAACAAGAAGTTTACGCAATTCTTCATACGCAGTGAACTGTATGGCACCATGAGAGACCTGCTGAAGCAGCATATTCAACAAGTAAGCATACCAGAGTTACACCCTAAACATCAAGTAGAATGGCAACACTCAATACTCAGTTAACCAGGGAAAAAAAGTTGAAAAACTCAGAAAACCAAGCCCTCTGTTTTCTTAATAGTTTCACCAGATAAACAGACATGAAAATTTTCCCAAATTTCCACAGTCAGTGCTCAGAAGCAACATGCAAACCATACTAGAATGATCTACAAATCTGTTATCAAGATAATGACCAAAAGCCACTCAAGATTAATACAATGGGAGAAAATTGTACAATGCAATTCAGATATAGCAAGCTGACAAAAGCTTTCACTGACTTGCTTTCTAATGTAACTATTACATCACAACATACTTTATTTACCCAAAATATTAAGGCATGAACAAACTTGATCCATCAGAAGATCAACAAGCTAGACAGAAGGCACTTTTTCAAGTCTAATTTCCATAAGACACCAAGCTAATACTACTTCATTAACAGGGCAATCATATGCGCAAAGACAACTCCAGCAAAGCAACTAGCGAGCTTAATAATAGAATGGGCTAAGCTATTTATGGTTACTAAATGAACTGGGCAAGAGATAGGACTGCAGAGTATAGGTGAGTAAAATCTAACCAGCAAAAGACTTGGCCAAATTCCTCTATAGAGTGCAGTCCACCCTTCCTCTTTTGTTATGGTTCGCAGAGCATCTGAAGTGGACACCAAAAAAAAAAAAAAAAAAAAAACAATCAGAAACTCCTCATTCTACTGATAAAAAGAGGTCTTTTGAACAGCACTAGATAAAAGAATCAGTTTTAAGTCTTAACATATACTACGAAAAAATAAAGTCATTGGTGTAGCTTAAAAACGTTGACAGCTAGTGGGACATCCTGAAATAAGTACAACATAGAATGGGGTGCCACTTCTTCCCAAGCCCCCTCCTCCCTACACACAAACACAGGAGTAAGATTCAACCACTAGGATGGTAAAACCTTTTATGATCACACTTGAGAAGTAAGAACCGACTCCCTATTAAATGTAAACCTATCCCTCATGTTAGCTTAAAAAGGTTTTGGTACCTAGTTCAGAATCTTAAATAAAATATTGCATAACAATATACATGAAATGGGTGGATTATATAAACTGAATTCTAAAAATACTGTAATATGAGTATCAACCTATCAGGTCCTACATAAACAATGAGTTTGAATTCTTGTTAATAGTAGCAAACTAGCCATAGAGAAGTCTTCAACTCATGAAAATTTTCTACTGGAAAGTGAACTTTTACTAAATCCTAGAAACTAAAATGACCATAGAATCTGACCCAATTAATTATATCCATTGCATCCGCAAGTAGTTTACGAGTTTGAAAGCTCAAAAGCAGCAAGACCAGTAAAAAGCATCCAACATACAGTTCATGAATTAACTAAGAAGTGAAACCAACCATAAACACCAGAATATTGACGGGTTTGATGAAGAGGATTCTGTAGTTGTAATCTTGTTTTAATGACCCAAACAGGATTTGTGAAAAATGATACCTGTAAATAGTTCATATGTGCTAGTTAGAAATCAGTTCTAACAAACATGAAAACGAAAAAAAATGAAAGCATGTTTCTTACATCTCCAAAGCGAGAAAGAAGCCCGTTCTAGTAGCACTGCGGCCAAATTTGAAGGAACTTAAAAATGTAAGTGGGGACATCGTAGTATCCTAAAATGTTATTCACAAATTTGATTGGGACATCTCTAATACAAAGTCGTGTAAACTCCTACTTTGTTTCTTCTGAGCATTGACAAAATCAATTGAATAGTGAAATATAGATTATATAATGCATTGAGATAACAAGCCTGACAGAATGAAAATTCAGGGTGACTTATGTCCGTACTTAAGCTTCATACACACTCCCTCCATCCCTATATAAAAGCCCCATTTCTCCTAAATTTGTAGTCCAATTTATCATTTCGGATGGGATCCACATCCACTATTTATTTATTTATTTTATTTTTTTTATAATTCACTATTAATCAACAAAATCCCTCTAACACCATTATATCTTCTCTAGCTTCCCCATAAAGACATATAAACTATGGCATTGCTGAAAAACTGACCAGAGCACCAGCCTCTGCAGCTGCCGCCAAATGGTGTCCAGGACTCAGCTTATCCTCCTCATCACCAGAATACCTTTTTTTAGCTCTGCTATAGCTGCAGAAAATAGCATATCCTTTCCAATTCAGATAAAAAAAGCTTAAAAATAGGCAGCTACAACTTCATGCTTGAGAGTATTTAACTTACAAGAAGAAAAATAGCCCCCATGAAATAGATGATCCTATAACAGCTGGGGTGAAGCCAGCATAAAGCCCCCTCAAACCCTGGAAAACAAGTTAAAAACAAAATGTTGAGCAAGCAGAATTGTACTAGAATCTACAAATAGCATCTCAGCAAGACATAACTTAAATTCTTCATACTCAAAGTATTAAATAGTATGGTTCATTGATCACACGATTACATGGAAACTTGTAAACACCTTTCAGCTAGTATTGACCATCTCAAATCAAAATTTAAAGATTAAAGATGGTAACTTTCGACTGATAACAGCTTAATTCACTTAAAATATGCACCACTTTTTATAAATTATAATTTCAATGAATGTATTAGGCATTTTACAAATAGTCATACATTGGCATTAGAGACCATAAATATATAAAAGTAGTTAATTGAATAACAAACAATGATAGAATTGGCTAAAAATATTCAACTGTAAAATAAATCAGGGATAAAAAAGCAACAAAATAAAGCATTTGAATTTTGAAGACACCTCAGAACGGGCGATGGTAAAGATAGCATTGGGAGTGTTCTTGTAGCTTGGGAGATTCGATATTCGTCCATCATTCACTGCATAATTTCAACAAATACAAATAAAAATGAATCCCCAGGAAAAAAAAGAGAGAGAGAGAGAGAGAAGATGGTGAGAATTAGACGAAATTGATTTGTTATGGTTTGACCTTGAAAGCGGGTGCGAACGACGTCAAGGGGGTGCATGATTGCCACAGTGGCGAAGCCAGCGACGGCTCCGGCGGTAGCATTCTCCCACTCCCATTTCACCGCCATTAACGCCGCCGGAAACTGATTATCCGGCGAGCTTCTTGAGAGGATTTGTAAGTCTTCTTTTCACTTCCGTACTCGCTTTGTCTCTCCACCTTACTAATGTTGTTCAACTGGATTTAAGAATAGGGAGTAATGGAACTTTTGCGCTAAGCAGGAAGGACTTCGTGTTCGATCTCCCGCAATAATAATAGGAGAGGATGAAAACGGAAAATTTAACCATCTAAGGGGTGTTTGTTTCAAGCTTTTATAAATGGAATGGATGTGATACTATTAATGATGTGATCGTTGTTTGATTGAAATCATTTGGGTATGGAATGTCATACCCAATGGTTTCTCATTCCGTTTAATCTCATACCCATTACCCTTCTAAAGATTGAAATTCCATACCTTCTCAAGTCATTAATATTTAATACTATCAAACAATAGATTATCAATCCATACCCTTGGGATTGTGTAAAAAAAAAAAAAACCCTTGGGATTGATATCCCCATACCATTCCATTCCAACATTTTGAACCAAACAACCCCTTATAAAGCTTAAACTGTGACCCAAATTTGGATCAATTCAAAGGGAATTGGATGGAACAAAAAAAAAAGTAATGTATCTTTTGCTTGTGCCATTGTGTGAGTTGTGTCAACGTGTTCATTGAGACAATGCTGTCAAGTCCAAAGTTCCAAACTCTTTATCCACTTGCTTATTGCTTTGAAACTTGTACAAGATTAAATTTGAACTGGAGTCATCATAGAAGGGTTTAAATAGGAGCAAGGGTCATCATGATAGGATTATAAATACAAGGTAAAATATTAGTAGGGTTATAACAGTAGGGGTTTATTTAACCTTTACTATGATAACTCTTATTGTTCTTATAACCGTTACCGTCGTAGCAAGGGTTAAATTGAAGTAGCGGTCATCTTACTACGAGTTTAGCACTGTCAAAACGGTATGACAGTTCGGGTTCGGTTTGGTTTGAAATCGGTTCGGTATTAAATCGGGTCGGTTTGAAATCGGTTTAAGTGTCTCGCGGGTCGGTTCCAGTTCGGTTTAAATAGTTATCGGTTCTATTTGGTTTCGGTTTATTCTTGAGCGGTTTTAATTCGGTTCGGGTTGTAAACAGTCCGGGTAGTAAACGGTTTGGTGCAGACGGGTAACAGTTTGTTAACGGTTCGGTGTTAACGGTTTTTATCCCGGTTCAAACACTTTCGGGTTGGAAACATTTTCGGGTTAGAAACAGTTCGGTTCTTTTACGGTTCAGTTTACAACTAGTTCGGTTCTTTTTTGGTTCTGTTTATAATTGGTTCGATTCTTTTTCGGTTCAGTTTATAACTAGTTCGGTTCTTTTCGGTTCAATTTATAGCAGGAGGATTTTTAGTGGCAGGAGGATATTTTATACTATGATAATAAATTTTCAATAAATATTAATTTGGCAGGAAGAATTTTTGTACTATGATAATTAACTTTCATTTAAAACACCTTTTAAGTTGATTTTAATATTCTCTTTATAGTAAGCAATTTGTAGCCGATTTGTTTATAAGCGGTCCAGTTCATAAACGATTTTGTTTGCAAGCGGTTCGGTTTATAAACGGTTCGGTTTATATACAGTTCGGTGCAAACGGGTCGCAGGTTGTTAACGGTTCGGTGTAAACGGTTTTTATCCCGGTTCAAACGGTTTCGGGTTAGAAACAGTTCGGTTCTTTTTCGTTTCGGTTTGATTTCAGTTCGGTTTAGAACTGGTTCGGTTCATTAACAGATTCGGTTCTTATACGGTGTAACGTTATTCGGATCGGTTCGGTTTCGGGTTCATTCACATACAGTTCGGGTCGGTCTTCGATTTCAAAAAACGGTTTTTAATCGGTTCGGTTCTCATTTGAATCGGTTGGTTTCAGGCAGTTAAACGGTTTTGGTTTGAAATTTGACAGCACTATATGGGTTAAATAGTTTCAGGGGTTATAATAGTGAGGTTAATTTAAGCCAAACTATGATAACCCATGCTATTGTAATCACTTCTAATGCTATAACCCCTTCTTTGAAGGCAAAATCATCATAATATGGTCTAAATAGTATAAAGGGACACCTTAGTAGTTAGTATGGGTATGAGGTTAATATGAGAACGATTCATCATAAAAGAGGTTAATCGGGAGTAGGGGGTCATCATAGAAGTGGTTAAATAAGAGCGCGAGTAGTCTTCATTGTATGGTTTAAATAGGGAGTGAAGTCTTGTTTAGTTTACCTTGAAAAATATTGTAATACTATTAATTTAGTAAGTACTTGTATAATTTTAGTTCAGTCTAAATCAGTAATTTTAAGGAAGAAATATAAAAACATATTGTAATAGATAGTTAGTCAAAATAATTTTAATTTATAAAAAATAAGGTGATATGAATATAAGGATTCATAAGAAAAGAAAAGGAAAAAAAAAAAACCAAAAAATGACTAATGTTGAGCAGGGCCTAAGTTTTGGGCTGATGGTATGCCAGCTTGCAAATTTGTAAGCCTGAATGACACAACTCAGATGAGTACATTAGAAACTAAAAACCCTACACATTCTTCCTCCAACTCCTATATACGAGTATCATCGTTTCAGATACAGTAAAGTGAAAGATCAGAAGAATGTGTAACGGTTTCATCAGTACCAAGTTGTGGGAAGAGGCTTGCCCACTGAATCCGATGAGCATCCCAAGATCTATCGCATGAAGATCTGGGCTACCAATGAAGTTCGAGCCAAGTCCAAATTTTGGTACCTTTTTCTACTCTTTTCTAATTTTGATTTGATTGTAATTTCAATTGAGAAAACCCCTGTGATTTTCGGGTTTTTTTTTCAGGTATTTTCTGAGGAAATTGAAGAAGGTGAAGAAAAGCAATGGTCAGATTCTTGCCATTAACGAGGTATATTACTCTTTCTATTTCCAAGTAATTGTTTATATGACGTTTAATTCTAGTATTACCCGGTAAACAAATTGCTTTGTGTATGTTCATGTTGTGAATTAATCCAAAAGGCCATCTTGTGTTAATTTCAATTATGACATAATTTTTTAGGTTGTTGTTAAGTAATCTCCTGCTTGGCTATCATTTTGTGTAATATTATATAATCGTAGGTTACCTCTCCTACCCTACATACTGGTACTCTGGTAGTTATAGATTACGGCGAACCCATCGTAAATCCAAGTGTAATTTTGAAAATTTCAATCTTTGCAGACTATCGAAAATGATTTTTTGCAAGTATTACAATGGTTGTATGGTACCAAGTAATTCCCATTTAGAATGAACAATGGGGGTTAAGAGTGCTTGTCAGAGTGAGAGGGGCCTTTAATTTAAGGTTAAGTATTGTAGAAGTAGCCTTAGACTGGGCTAAATTATGTTCTATTTTGCTTTCCATCAATCTCCGTAATTGGGCAGAACTGAAAGAGTGATTTAATCTATGTTTGTTATAAAAAGAAAGCGATTAGTGATAGTTTAAACAGGGGAGTGAGAGTCAGGACAACACTAGTCACGCTACTGCTTCAAAGGTTATAGTTGTGGAAGTAGCCTCAGACTTGGCTGGAGTATGCTCTTTTTTTTCCCTTCTGTTTGTGATTGCAATGAAAAGGAAGAGATTGTTGCAGTGAATAGATATAGATGAGAGACAGTGATAGGCCTCCCCTCACATCAAAACTCCTGTGTCTTCCATAACTAGTGTTTCCCGGACACTATAATTTATTACTTTGGCTCAATACATAGAGAACAAAATTTTGAGTTTTTGTCCATCGTAGTGGTGTTGCCTTAATGTTAGAGATTGGATTTATTATTTATCGCTCAATATTGATCTGCCCACAGATCTATGAGAAGAATCCTACTGTTATCAAGAACTATGGAATATGGTTGCGATACCAGAGTAGAACTGGCTACCACAACATGTACAAGGAATTTCGTGACACCACATTGAATGGTGCTGTTGAGCAAATGTACACCGAGATGGCTTCTCGCCACAGAGTCAGGGCCCCATGCATCCAGATTATCAAGACAGCAACTGTTCCTGATGAACTTTGTAAGAGGGAGAACACCAAACAGTTCCACAGCAAGGATATCAAATTTCCACTGGTTTACAAGAAGGTTAGACCACCAAATAGGAAGCTCAAGACAACGTACAAAGCATCAAGGCCTAATATGTTCATGTAAGGCGCAACTTTTGTTGGTATTGTGATTTAGAGCTCGAAATTTTTTCTTGAGAACAAATTGAGTTGTTACAAACTTACAATTTACTAGTCTTATGAGTTACGGATACCCAATTGAGGTACAATATGTGTTTTTGCTTATGGACAGATCCTATTATGAATATTGTTTATCCAACACTAGTTCTTTCTTAGCTTGTTGTTTGGTTCATTTGACTTCTTGCGAATTGAGGAACCTTTTTCCAGCTCTTGATCGAGCTGGCTTTAATGGTTTACTCTGCTATTACGGTACCCTTATCTCTAGTCTTCTACCTTTATAACAGAGCAAACCATTTAAGTCATACTGAGAGAAAGGGCTGTACAGTTTACAGCACCATGGTTAGCTTAACTAAGAATGCTCCATGCTTCCAATTTTTTAATTTAAATTTGATTATTTTAAATTTTACTTCTTTTATTCAGGGATTAATATTTGTTAGATTTGTCTCAACATATAGTTTCATAGTACAAATATAAACTTTTTATATGTAGTAATTTTTTTTATGATAAAAGATATATGCAGCCCTAAGAGCTATATATAAGAAGCTAAAAATGGAAAGAATTGACAATTAATAAACATTTATTGCATCGACTTACTCGTGAATTGTCGATAACTTTCCAAATTAATACTAAAAAAGTAAGTATATTAAGTGCTAAGGGTTGCATATGACATTACCTTTTTTTATTTTGCGAATTAAAGATTTTTCCCAAGATTTAAATAGTAAAAAATATGTCTATGAAAATATGTACTCCATAATATATTATGAGATGGAGGGTATACATTATTCACGAGTAAGATAAGTGTGCAAACATGTAAAAATAAAAAACTTTGGAAGTTTGCATGTAAATGGAAAAAAAATGAAGTCCCAAAATTTAAAATTTATCCTCTTCCTATATTAATTCTTATGCCAAAATCAGTACTCCGAACTTCCAAGGGGCTCAGGAAGATTATAGGAGCGTTGGTTTGATCTCCGCTCTCCACATGACAGGTGGCAGCATCTTAACTCACTGACTAACACTCTCTCTCACTCCTACAGACAAACACACTAACTCACTAGCGCTTTAATTAGCTCTTCACGCAATAATAATGGGTATGGGTTCATTCAAGAATACCTTCCACATTATTATGTAAAATTCAAAGAAAGAGTACTAAAAATGGTGATGACCAGAGGAAATAAAAGAAAATTTGAACAGCAAGAAGCAGCAATAGCAGCAGCTGCTGATGATCAACAACCCACTTTATGCATCACACTTCCTGGTTTCTTTTCAAACCCATCTTCCTCCTACACCCAGGTTCTTCATTTTTCTCTCTTTTTCTTTATTTGGATTATTACATAATTTGTCTTCATAAAGTTGCCATTTTTGTTACTTCATCTGTCATGCTGCCTATAGTTTTTATGTTACAGTAAAAAAAAAAGTGATTTTTTTTTTTTGCATTTTGTTTTTTTTGGGGTCGTTTATGTTTTGTTACTGATTTTCTAGGTTTTTTGTAAACCCATTTCTGAAGATTTATTCTTTCCTTTGTTTTTCTGGAAAGACTTGAGGATTTCTGAAATTTTGAACTTCTGCAATCACTAATCATGGTCCATTATGGCCCAGAGTTGTGATAAAACATTAAATTAAATAATGAAAAAACAAGATGAATACTTTCAATTCTAATCACAATCAGAAGGCTTGAATTTTAATTAGACCTGTACACATTGACTGTGAGTCTGCGACTGTGTTGTTAGAATGGCACAAGGTTGTATCTTAGGCAATTATCAAATGGGTCTAGGCCACACCCATCAATAGAGGAGAGTTTTCCTTTGTCAATCATGAATCTTTTACTCCTAAACTACACTTGTTAAAGCTATCTACCATGCAATCCATAAAAATGTAGTATGTTGAGCAAAACTTGACTAAACTACATAAAGTAAAATGCATGCCTGTTTTTGTGCTGTTCTGCCTAGTCATTTTCCCCTTCACCCTTTTCCAACTTGATCTCCCTTCTTATTCTGATCTTATACTGTAAGCATGCCTTGCAAGTGTCTATTTGCTCCTTGGATGAGAACTTCTGTATATCTGTTTGAGTCAAATGTCATGTTGATTGCAAACTCAGCACACTAGCCATTCAAGAGTCGCTAAGAGGATTGAAACGTGTGAGAAGCTTGCTGACATCGTGTTAAAGGTGTCTACTTCACAAAGTCCAGCCATTACACCTTCTGAATTGACTCCTTGTAGCACTCTGAAATCACAAAGCAAAGCAGTGTCCTCATGTCCAAAAACCACCCCTGAACCCGAGGTTGAGAACCCACCATCACAGGCAAGACTTTATACCTGCCTTGCAATATCCACATTATTTCGGTATCATCAGTTGCCTAATCCTCTCTCTATTCAGATAAGGCCGAGGCGTTATGCTCATTTTTTAATTGTGTAGGTGTTTTAGTACAAACTAATGTTAAATTTGGCCTTCTGTTGTTTAGGATCTCCCTATGGTTAAGGCTTGCTCTCGGGCTACCTCAGGAAGATATCCAGTTCGACGTGTCAGACATGTTCCTTGTAGGCGCAATAAATCAACAGCTGCAATTGGCGCTATCAAAAAAGAAAGTAGTGATGATGGGGTAGCTGATATATTCCGTGCAGGAACTCCACTGTCTCTGAGTCTGCATGATCCTGAATCTCAAGCTCTTTCCACTCAACTTGGAGAAGGATCAGAATGTATCCAATCATTATCTCCTCTTTCTTCTGTCTCCAAAGCTGTCAATGGTAAACCTATGTCCAATGAGCACACACCATTGCAGGAGCCTATTATGCCCCCTATTGAGGAAGGACCGAACAGTCCAAGTGAAGCAGATAGTAATGCAAGGCAAGCAATCTGTCTTAATCTTTCAGACATGGCTGCAATGGATGATGATTGTTCCAGCTTTGATTCTGTTATAAGTGATCCTCTAGTGACAGTTGGTGGTTATAGGGTGAAGGACAATCTGGCGCCCATTCTCAGAGATATACTATCCAAGTATGTCGATATTGCTGCACAATGTGTCAAGAAGTCTGTTATGCACCGCTCTTGGTTGGTTGAGAGTGTATGTGACATAATTGATAAACTGCGAACTGTAGAATTTGTGCATCTCACAGCAATTGAAGTTGACAGTTTTCGGGTCTTTGTTCAAGACATAGAATCAGATAATGTGGATGTTGGGTGGCTTTATCAGCGGCTTGATGAAATCTATGAGGCCAAGAGGCTTCTTAAAGAATCCTCTAAAGTTAAGCAGGCTAAGTGTCACGGTCCGAGTGGTTTGACACCGGATCGTGCGGCGCGCTCTTATCTTTTAGAAACAAGAACGCAAGCCTAGAGTGAGAGAGGTTCGTGGGCACACAGCGTCACGGACCAAAGGTATCTCAATGAGGCAATCGTTAGTAACGAGTGCAGGGTCGGGGTTTGTGACGGCCGATACTTCGAAGCGGGCACAAGCGGAACCGACAAGGATGTAGGCGTCTTTGAGAGTCTCTTGGTTTGGTGGGGAGCTTTAAAACAAGGCAAGCACAATATCTATAAAGGCTTAAATCAACACACAAGTCTTAAAGCAAGGCAACCCGAATAGGAGCTTTTTCATTCATTCAACCATCGCTCCATATAGAGCTTTATATTGTTTACATGGAGAAATACTAGTGAACACTGAAATGACAGTAACACAATAATCTCCTCTAGCGCCTAAACTACTTACACGAATACATTGAAAGTTTAACATAAGCTAAATAAAGACATAAGAAAGCAAAATACATGATGAAAGAGGTTGGATCCTAACATCCTCCCCCACTTAAGCTGTCGACGTCCTCGTCGACTTACAAAATATGACTAAGGAGACTAAAGTTCTTGATCCTTAGGTCTCTGCTGAAGAGGTGTTGCGATGTCTGCTCCTGATGCTGGCTCGGTTGCTGATGTTGCGGCTTGAGTCTTCTTGATCTGGGTGGTAGGGCTTGAGGCGGCTGACGTGAAAGACTGGGTGTATCTTCATCCATGCTGGAGGTTCGACCTTGTACGCATTCTTCCCTATCCGTTTTATGATGCGGATGGGGCCTTCGTATTTTCTAATCAATCTTCGATCTCTTCCTCTCAAAAACTTCAGTTGTTCGGGTAACACTTTCACCATCACCATATCCCCAACATCAAACTCCAACGCTCTTCTGTTTTGATCAGCCCACTTCTTCATTCTCCTAGCTGCTCGCTCCAAGTAGGCCCGAGCAATCTCTGTGTTTTGCTCCCACTCCCTTTTGAATTCTTGAGCTTGAGTACTTCGTCCGGCCTCGGTGTCTGCTACTGTGTGAGGCAAGAGAGGTTGTTGGCCCATGGTCAGCTCGAAAGGGCTCTTGTTTGATGAGGAGCTCTTTTGGGCGTTGAAACAAAGCTGAGCTACATCGAGGAGTCTCACCCAATCCTTCTGATTGGCACTGACGAAGTGGCGCAAATATTCTTTAAGTAACCCATTGAATCTCTCCGTCTGCCCATCTGATTGTTGATGATGACTTGATGACATATTGAGTTCTGACCCCATCATCCGAAACAATGCTTGTGAATCTCGTGTCTCTGTCGCTCACTATACTCTTGGGGAGTCCCCAATACTTCACAACGTGCTTGAAAAATAATGAGGCAGTTTCTTCAGCACCACATGCCTTTTGCATTGGAACGAAGGTAGCATATTTTGAGAATCTATCTACAACCACCATTACTGCGGAGAGCTGGTCCACCTTTGGGAGGCCACTGATGAAGTCCATGGATACACTCTCCCAAGGGCGAGTAGGGATTGGTAACGGTTCCAGGAGCCCACCGGATTTCTGTCGGTCGACCTTGTCTTGTTGACACACCAGACAAGTTCTTGTGTAGTTCATCACGTCCTCTTTCATCCCCGGCCAATAGTATCCTGTGCTCAGTAAGCTGAGTGTCCTTTGCCGGATGACCTGCCCATAGCGTGTCGTGGCATTCCCTCAAGAGCATCTTTCTCAAACCACCTGCTCTAGGGATGAAGAGTTTCTTTCCTTTTGTGTAGACAAGTCCGTCTTCCATCCAGAAACGTCTAGTTTTCCCTTCTTCAATCAGTTTCTTGATGGTTCCTGTCATCGGATCATCTCCTAAGTAAGCTTTGACTTGATCACGCACAGAGGTAGTGACGTTGCTTGAAGT